GTTCATTATAAGCAGTTCGATCAGAGTGTTTTTCCATTCCAGGTGATGATTTTAGCCGATAACGCTATCCATAACCTACCGATAACACGTTCGAGCACCTGAGACCACTCGGCAGCCCATGGCCCCTGCAAAGGCTGTACAGTCACTGTACAGTGATGCGACATAACTCACCCGCCTGTAACACTCAACCAGTACCCGCCCACAGCTACAGTTCACTTTCGCAGCATGTGCTGAACCTCTTGGATATGTCCCTGAAAGGAAAGCCCCAGTCAGAGGAAGTTTACAGTAACCTTATATTAGGGAAACCAAGCTTGGGAACGGGGTTCTTTTACTGCCCCAGTTACTGCTTACGAAATCCTACGAATACGGGCTTCTAAGCAATCAAGCAGTTCCTGGACCCGGAAAATGCTGAAAAGGCCTTGCGCGACGGAATTTCTAGATCTGCGTGTGTGTGCACGGAATGTCGAACAGGACCTCCAAAAATTGCACATCGGGGCGCAGAACACAGTCGAACCAGCGACTGGCGCGCATATTAGTTTTCGGGTTTTAAGGATGCTGGCAACAGTGGGGGGTACCAGTTGTATATTGGGGTATATATTAGGGTTGTTTTGGGGTTGTAATGGAGATCGCAGAGAAAATGGAAACTAAAGGGATGAAAGGGCATATGCAACAAGACGTCCTTTGAGTTCAAGGCTTCAGGGTGGGGATTTTCGGCCCTTGGCACAGAGTTTTCCAGGGTGTAGTAGAATATATTTGAACTTAAGACCTTTATGGCGGAACCTGCGAGAATCATCGATGGACAAAAGCCTGCGTCAGCTCCAGGGCACGGAGGCCTTGTTACGGGTATGTGCAGGCGCTGTTATTTGGTTTTTGCATTAGGCCTCAGTCAGGCTGTGCTGCCCCGGCAGCCTCCCAGGTATTGCGCGTTGACTTTCATGGGACATTGGCCTATGGCAATAGTGTAGTGGTTTTAACGAAGGATAGCATGGCCCTGGATTCCTTGTACAGTTATGGTACAAGGTATCTCAGACAGACCTTCGCATAATTTGATACTGGTAGTTGTTTTGGCCCCTACACTTCATTCAGTGGCCGGGTGTTGATTTCAGAGCTCAGGATTCTTTGATAATGCGGTACTTGGGGTTGTTGTTCATGGGTCGTTAGAATTGAGCTTAATTATGAACGGATAAGCCTAGGTGCAACCTAAAGCTGTAAACCCTACACAGACGTACCCATGAACCTCCAACCGCCCAAGTTTTTTGGACTGCCCAGGTCCTGGAAGAAGGTCCGTTGGACTTCGTCGGCCGCTTCTGGGAAACTTGCTCCAAACCAAATTCCCCAGAGAGTCCAACCACCATGATAGGAATATGGGCCTATGTCGGAGTACAAAAGGTAGATTGAAGATGCAAAATGGAAAGCTGGTTATTTGGGAGGCCCAGGTATACCTTGCATTAATAAAGCGAGGTTCCTGAATGTGATTTAGGAAACATCCCTTGATTGAGGCATACTGGGCTCCTAGGTCTGGGGTTCTAACACGAGTATAGATTAGGAGGAGGGATAATGGAAAAGAAAGTGGCATCTACTGTAATATAATGGGGTATTAATGGAAAAATGGAATATACTATTCAGGGTTTAGGGTTGAGGAGGACCCCCTCCCACCCTGTAGTAGTGGTATAGTAGGAGTGTAAGAGGACCCTAATGGAATCCGTATTCTCCCTGATAATCACTGCTACTGGGTGGGGGGTCCACTTGAAGTATACAGGAGCTTTCAACGGTGAGGGTTTTTTTGGTGGATTTGGGATTTGGGCACAAAGAATCCTTGCAGTTGTTTTGCAGAGTTGCGCAGGGAATCTGGCAAGGAAGCCTTTCGGCAAAGCAGCCTATACTGGAATATCTGGCGTGGATGTAAGGAAATGTAGCACAGCAGTCAGAGATGATGATTGATGATGATGATGATGAGGAGGAGGAGGAGGAGTAGAGGTACTCCCTCGTGTGCTTCACAGGCTTTTGTCTTCAATCCGGCCTTAAGCCGCAACCTGATTGCCGGACTAATGCATAAGAAGAAGGTGATCGGCTTTCTATGGGGACAGACTGCTGGCAAGGCTGCAAAGCAGATAGGGCCTCACTTTTGGGCACATGCTTAGCTCGGAAAGTGGGAATGGATCCCTAAAATCATTCGTGGCGGCCCGAAGCCCCACTTGAAATCAGTTTACGACCTTCTCCGCAGCTGACCCCCTGACCCCATCATTTTTGGATCTCTGAGCAGGGTTTGGGGAGTTGGAAAGTGTTCAGCCTTAGACTTGTTCACAGTTGTGCAGGCTCCATTGGTTGAGGGAGATAGAGGAGACAGGCCCGCAACAGGCAAACGGAAGTCGCGGAAGGCCTCAAAACAACCAAATCAGCAAACACGGGGGAAAACGCGTGAGAAAAAGCTAGACTTTATTTCATAATCATGGGTAGAAGGACTATTCTCATATCTGAGAATTCCAATTCTCCCCGTGTAGCCGCCAAGAAACCAAAATTACAGCCTGAGCCCCTCTAAGCCGCAACAGAGCAGGGCCTAGGTAATCCCGAATAGTCTTAAACCAGTAGTGGGATAGTTTAGGTGGACCCCCCACCCAGTAATAGTGACTATAAGGGATACTAGGGATTATATGAGGGTCCTTTAATTTTCCTATTATACCACTATTACAGGGTGGGGGGTCCTCCTAAGGGATGGTTATATTCCCGAGCCAAGGAGACTGTCAAGCCAAGGGACAGCGCGTACTTGGCAGGGGAGCGGCTCGAAATGTACTTGACGGTTTCCCAAAGTTAGTGGTATCTTCTAGCAGGTCCCTACTGGGAATTTCAGAACTTTGGGGTCTAGAAACTACCATTTCGAACTTGGTTTAAGGGTTTGGTTTTTAGGGCTGTTGGGTATGCGTTTCTTCGACATGTCCACACTTCATGTGTGTATTCAGAATGAAACAAAGTTGTTCCATCGGCTATGGTATCTTGCATCTAGTGCACGTGGTGCCTCTGCAGGTGTGGGCACCTTCTGTAGCAGTAGCGATGTTAACCTGACAATAAAGATTCCCCCCCAAGACTTGCTTTGCGTTTTTGATCTGCGGAGGGGAGGGGTCGAAATAATGAACTACGGTGTGGGGGTAGGACCAAGTAGTACAGGTTGCAGTGCTACGCGCTAGTAGCACAAGTAGAAAGATTTTTTTCAAATCGGCTTTTTCTCTTGCGCGAATTGTTGTTCTTGTCACCCCTTTGTCGAACCTGTTTGTAGGTTTTCGGGCTGCCGAACTAAGAGCAAAAGTAGTTCCGACATTGTGGGAATAGTTTATTGTCACCCCCTCCATAATGGCCGGTCAACAAGGGGATAGGGCACCGCTGCCCCTAGTTTTGGCTTGGCCGTTCCGAGCTGAGTTCGCGTGAAACTGGGAAATCTGGTTTCCCAGCGCTTCCCAACCTAGCCAAAAGCTCTGCACTTTGCAGGGTTTGCTGTGTATCTTCCTGCTGTCCCTTTCAAACCTGCATGCCGAGGAACATCGGCGAGATCAGGAAACCTGGAGAGAAGGAGACGCAATAAGTTCTTTCACTTTTTCAGGGCTTGGGTTGGGGAGGCGGAGCCAGCACTAGAGTCCAGTGCCGAGTTGCCGCAAATCATGCTGCCACCTTACAACTGTTCAGTCTCCGGCACTTAAAAGGTGTTAAAAGGTACCGCAACCTTGCGTAAAGTTGTTGGCAGACGAAGAAAGCCACATTCAGGCCACTGGTTTGTTGAGAGGCAGAAATTTGCCTATTTGCCTCAGGCGTTACGATGCCCAGACAAGACATGCAAAATAGCTTTGTCACTCATATTTGTGTAGCATAGCATGCGCACGATGCGTTGCCTGAAGTAGGAGAAGTTTTGTTGGCCTTGAACCTTCATCCCTTTATTCTCAGGGCGACCTCCCAAGATAGCAGGTCCTTCTCTCGGAGTATGGAAAGTGAGAGACTCTCTTTAAGTGGCCATCACTTCAAGTCAAAGAGTCAAAACCCTGATAAGGGCATAAGTAGCGAGATTAGAACAACTCTACTTCCGCAATCGCGCAGGCGGAGAAACCTCCCAATGCGCCGCTCGCGGCATTGCAGCAAGTGCAGCAGGCACAGACCAGTCTTGTCAGGAATGTGATGCTTGTCCAAGCCTAGGCATCCAACTGGCCCCAAGGTAGGTACTGGCTGTAGACTTTTCAGGCACCATATGTACAACCGCACATCAGCATGAACCGGTATTGTTAGCCTCTCGTGTCGAGCAAAATCGCAGGGTAGCTGCAGCGTCCTGCGGACTCTCACTGCAACCTTGAACATCATGATGCCCGCACCACCACATGGCAAGCAAACGCAGCTTTGAGCTTCTCGTAGAGAATAATGTAGACCCCTGATTAATAATACCCCTCCCCCTTTACAGGGATTACAATAGGCATCCTAATATTTTGACCCGTAATCACAGGTCTACATTATCAAATGTGCAGGAGCTGCCGCAGCAGATGCAGGAAGCTGCCAAAGAGGCAGACGAGCTACAAGGGTATATAGGGGTTATGTAGGGATAATGGATATTGGAAAGGAACAGAGAAACGCTTGTAATGGGATTATATAGGGTTCAGGGTCTTGGGTATGGGTTATATAGGGATGATGGAAAAGAACATGGACAATTTCTACATTATAATAGGGTCTATATTGGGTATAAGCCCTAAGTACATAGTGACCAGGACCCTCCTTCGAGCCCGGTAGATGCCTCACCAAATACAACTAGGGTAGTTGGGGGTATTAGGGTTTAGGGTTTAGAGGCCCAGAGCATGTGTTGCCACCCGGAAAGGCATTATTCCCTACCGTCGTGCTGTGTGGGCCTTCTTGGGGAATTTATTTCCCAAGACGACGCCTTTCCAGCAGACCATGAAAAGCCAGTTGAGCTCTTCAGGAAGGGGAGGAGAATTGCGTATGGAAGTGTGCAAGGTAGAGTAGGGACCTGACTCAAAAGCGGCAAAGTTTGGAAATGAAACTCGACAGCCTTGTGATGCCAGTGGACGTACTACTTAAGCTTGATAGAATAAACTTCTGCGTGATCCGCAGTGTTTTGTATTCGAGGCTAAACCTCCTAAGGTCATGCCAGATTTCTAGCATCAGCAGCAGCAGCTAGCTTTGCTGTCGAGGTGCAAGAAGCGGGCAAGCAGGCTGTGCGCAAGCTGTCCACAGCTTTCGAGGAGCACTTCGCCGGGACATTGAGTGGCAAACTTCCTGAGGTTTAGGGTTTAGGGGTTTAGGGGTTAGGGTTTAGGGGTTAGGGTTTAGGGTTCATCTCTGCCAATTTTTTTCCAAAATGGCAGATGACACCTGTGACATGTGCAGAGAGCTCACAACAGCTTTGCACCTTTGCACTCTTGCGAAGGCTCACCGGAGGATGTGGGACTCTCAAAACCAGGGGCCCCGTGTTGCGAGTCCCGGAAGTAAAGACTCTAGACTATCATACGGCATTGGGGTATATTGGCTCCCTACTTTGGGACGCTCCATGGTAGAATCAAGCAGGATTTCACGCTGACATGGTGAACTCTGTGAGGCGGGCTTGGCAGCTGCCATGATCCGCAAAACCGAGCAGCTTCATGCTGGGTGTGGATGCCTCTAGGGAAGAGTGTTGGATGGTCCAGAGTCCAGACGAGACAACAAGCTATTCCATATATATACATATATATATATGCATATAGAGGGCAAGCTCATGATTTTGCTGGCTCCCTTGTTGATGTGTCTTTGCCGCCGCCCACCCAAAAACCTTGACGTCCATTCCAAGCACCGAAGCCATCGCCTTTGAATTCATGGGTTTTAAACAATGAGCAGCGATCATTCTGCAGGAGGCGCGGTCCAGTGCTTGGTGGCAGCGAGCGCAGGGTTACCTCGATGAGAAGCGGCCTCCAGGCGGCAGCATCAGGTTCTCGCTCGGCTTTCTTTATACATGGTGTGTGTTTAACTTTTCTACTTTGGCTCCCTGGTTTCTGGAAGCTGACATACTAGTCTTGGCATACATGCAAACAGCTGGCGCCACCACGCTGACTTCTTCCTCGCCGAATGCTAGGAAGCACAGCAATCATGATCTCCAAGCAGTCATCTTTGCGAGGGACACCCTACAAAAATGCTGCAAGCTCCGTTGCGCTGTCAACCAGCTGATGGCGCTTGAAAGAGGGATGAACAACTGCAAAGATGTGCCAGCATGTACTGTACTACCCAACGGACATCTCCATGGACATTTCACACCTCAGAGCTGCATAACAAACGGTCTGGTCAACTTCAGGATGGGCGGTCCTTTATAAGTCTAGGTGGGCCTTTGGGTTCCTTATATATTTTCCCTTATTGGTTTTATAGGGACCCATTTACACCAACATTTTTCAAAGGGTTCCAAAGGCCAACCAAGAAGTAGATGCATCCTCGAGAGTTCTTGAACCCACGGCATGCGCCCTATATTCCCAATTTCTACTTGCAAAGGTGTGTGGCCCAGCAAAACAGGAAGATGCCCAGGTGGTAACCAGGTTACAACTCACTATACCTCCTCTTGTTACAATGAGCATCATTCTTAGTATTACCCGTATCATTTGTACAGACAACACATCTTCCATTCCGAAGACTGCCAACTTAGGCCTCCAAGGGCCCAGTAGCTCCCTGGAATGCCGAGGACGGAGATCGCGAAAAAGGTCTCAGAGGTTCAGGCAAACGCCCAGGCTGCCGCCCAGGCCACCCTGGAAAAGCTTGTAAAGCAAAATTTGGGGGTCCAAAACCAGGGATTATCGATGGGTTTAGGGTTCAGGGTTTAGGGCTGTAGATGGGTTTAGGGTTCGGGGCTTAGGGGATTCTATCACTGGTTGGCCTACATGGGGTCCCGCACTTTTGGGAAATTACCATTTCATATATTCTAAATGTCCGGCGCGGTACCATTGTGGTTAGGTTTTGTGTTGCTACTACATGTCAAGGAACCAGTTGGCAGCGATTCTGATTCATACTTCAGAATACGTGGCTCTTGATAAGTTCCGCCGGCTGGGTCACGTCCCACACTAGGGTTCTCTAGACATCCAGGTATAGTCCCCCTGAAGTAGATAGAATATAGCTTGAGGTATATTATAATAAGATCCCCATATACCCCTTTTTCTATCTACTTAAGGGGGACTACGGATAGTCATACCAGAAGCTGTTCGGAATCTTTATGCTTGGACCAAGGTTGAGGTTTCGGGTTGAGGCCAACCTCCTAACAGTCTAACATCTTCACGGTGACAAAAGGGTGGAAGTCAGGGACGTGTTAATTCCTATTGTGTTTGTGCGTGTAACCTGTCACTACTCAAACGTTTGCAGTATTTCATCAACTTTGGGGCCCTCACGGCAGGCATCCTTCTTTTGTGGAGGACGATTCCTTGATCATTCCCGGAACGTAGCACGATATCGCAGCCTCCCAACTGCTGTATCCCCTCTATATCGTCCCAATTAGTCTGGGAGGCTCAATGAGGCTCAGTAATATACCCCTATATAACCCCTATAGTATACTAGTTTCCACTCTCTTTTCCAGTATCCCAATACAACCCCAACATAATTAAGGGATTTTGGGATTTGGAAAGGGAGTCAGGGAGGAAGGGAGCAAAGGGCCTGAAGCGAAACAGAAATTCCATTTGCGGACATGGCTCGCATTCTTCAGTAAAGAGGGCTTAGGGTTTAGGGTTTGGGGCGAAGTGGAGTGAAGTTGCCAAGACTTGGGGGGTGTGCAGTTGTATATAGGTCCCCATTCGTTCCTTCATCTACAAACAGTCTTAGACAAATCCGTGCCTTAATCCTCACGCACCCGTTCAGACCCCAGAAATCCACAAAGCGCTCCTTGAGCTCTTACAGCAGTAACTCTCCCTGACGCAAACGGGGGTAGGGTTTAGGGCTTAAGGTTTAGGGTTTAACGGTTTAGGGTGTAGGGTTTAGGGAAAAGTAATTGGCCACAGCGGTCCTTGTTTTGGGCCTCTGAAGCGATCGTAGAGAAGACTCAAACCCATGGGTCCCACTCCCCTGCCTTAAGGGACATTCCTAGGAGGGTTTAGGTAACAATGGGGATAACTGCTATTAGTTTACCTACAACCCCCCCCTTGGCCCTATAGTCACCCTGAAGTAGATTATGGCTTTTTTTGGGATCTTATTTTAATATACATCTTCTATCTACTTAAGGGAGACTACAGCCTTTAACAGTCTCCATTGACTTACTATGCCCCCTGACCCTTCAAGTAGAGTCTTCAGGCCTCTGCCATGCCACCACGAAGCCCAGCTGCAGCCAAGTTTGGGTTATGGGCTCTCAAGTGTTGATGCCGAAGCCCTGCATGACCAAAAGGACCTCAAACCCTAAACCCTACACCCTAATTCAGTATGTTTGAACTCCTGGACCTCAGTCCCCCAGCTAGAATCTAGAAGGTGTTTGTGGTCGTGCAGGATTTGTCGCATCAAGCGAACGAGTCCCGACATTGTGCAGGGTATGCAGGTATTATACAGGAATAGGGGTTGAAAGGCTTGTCCCAACTACACTCTCGTCCTTTTGTGGCGACCCCCCTAATCCGTATAAACCACGGATCTGATTCCTACTCCAGGGGGCACCCCCAGTTTCCCGAAGTTCAGGGCGATGATTGAGGTTCAGCATTATGGGGTTGAAGGGCTTGGCACTGCAAACGCGTGCTTGCCCAGCAGACGGGATGTGAAAGGGTTGAAGGCCTTCGGTTTCAAGTGTTCAGGCTGTCAAGTGGGTATTGCCATGGCATACTGCAGCCCGCATCAGACACACCCGTACATATGTAAGCATGTAGAAATGTATTTTTGTATATGAAATGCTCATGATGTGCGCAAATATGTTTACGCCTGACTGTATGTGTATATGCATATGTGGATGTCTGTGTGCGGGGCTTGGCCCATCTTTGCTGCAATCCTAGAACCTTTTATCCCCTGTAGCCCGCTTTACATGCCTTTATATGGGTTGTTCTCAAAATTATGGGCCCCTTTTGGTTATAGAGTATACTACAGCACCTAATAGAATATTTAGGGGCATCAATCAAAATCGGACCCTAATTTTAGGAATTACCCCAACCCTATACCCTAGTAGCTTCATTTCCTTTTCCATTATCTCTATGTAGCCGCAAGATAACACTATATAACCCTACCCCGTCCATATAGAGAATCATGATTTCCACCGAGGACGGCCGAGGCGACAACCGGCCGAGCCGAAAAGCGCAGCTGCTCGGGCCTCGGTTTGCCTGAGGTTTAGGGTTTAGGGTTTGCCATGTGATAGCGCTGAAGCAGAGATAGTCATGCCACAGAGTCGCCTCGAGCGTGACGTGCCATGCGACATGCTGCTTTAGCCTGACCGTGGAAGCACCCCACGCCGTCCCAGGCACCCAGACCTATTCCTATTATATAGGGTTTAGGACTTTAAGCTCAGTTAGGTTGATCTTGGTCAACAACACCACACATTTCTGTAGCCAAGCTTCTGGTTTCCGAAAGGTTTTGGGAGATTTTAGAAGGTTCGAGAGCTCTAGGAAACGTTGCAAGGCTTGGGAAGACTTGGGTGTGGGAGGCCCTGTGAAGGCCTGAGGCCTAGCTGGGAGGCTTGTCCTGGAAGGGGCTGCTGCTTTTCGGGAAGGTTTTGAAGGCCCTGAAACGGCCAGGCAACGGTCTAGGAGTGCAAGGCTCTTGCAAGCTTGAAAAACGCTTGAAAGACGAAGCTTTTTAAGAGACCCTCTCAGGCCAGACGCCAAGGCTGGAGGCCTTGCGAATGAGAAGGGCCCGGAAAATGGCCCGGCGGGAAGAATTTTTTGGCCCTCGAGGCTCCCAGGCGTCCGATCCCGAAATTCGCTCGTGGAGGAGGGCCTGGAAGTCTAGGACCCCCCCAAAATGGCTCTGGAAAAACAAGGCTTGGGGTTTGAGCAGCGAGTACTGGTTGCAAGGAGAACTGCTTGCAAGGAGAACTTTTTTTTGTACCGGGCCCATCGTGGGTGCTACCACATCGGTGGCTGTGCTGAGGCAGATCCAGCTAGGTCGGTCTGCCCAAGGGATTCAAGGGGCATAGGCATAGGCCTAAGCCTCGAGTTTAGTGATTAGGGTTTGGGGTTATTTAGGTTTGGGGGCTTTGAAGGGGTATATATAGGGTTATGTAAGGGCTATGTAGGGATAATGGAAAAGAAAATGGGAGCTACTGTTTAGATCTGTTTAGGGGATAGGGTTAGGGTAATTTATGACAGATTGGGTTCTAGGGTTCTGAAGAGGGTAGTGGCATGTAGGGTTCTAGACTTCAGGCTTGCAATTAGCTTCCCTTGAACTATCATGGATTTTGTTGGCTTGAAGCTATAGCGCCCCTTTAGATAGAACATGGGGTACATGGGGATCTTATTAGAATATATCCAAAGCCATATTCTATCTACTTAAGGGGGACTATAGACATGGAAATATTTTGCCTTGCCTCCGTTGTCAGGCCTGCAGTGCCTTTCTCTCTGCACACGTGTTTCCGTGGTGCATGGGTTTAGGGTTTGTTTAAGGGCGTAGGGGTTTAGGGTTACTAGAGCATCTTGAAACCGATATGAGGGTGTGTATGACAGAGGTTGAAACAGAGGATTGCTACGAATCGCGGCTTTAGCCATTCAGCTGCCAGTAGATGATTGCCTCTGCAGTGCATTCATGGATGATGCCAAATGAGGTCACTCGGGCTTTGGCGTATCCCGGATGATGGAATGTGAAGAGGAGCCACACAACAAAGGGCCCCTTGTAGCCACCAGATGTGCCAGAAAGATGAGGAGCGTCAAAGAAATGTGCAAACTGCAACAAGAACAATGAAGCAATTCAGGGTGTAGGGTTGGACGCCACGCAGGAGCCTGATATAAGGAGGAAGTTGTGGCCACGTCAGCCCGAAAGCAAGAACCCTGTAAGCGTCACATGATGGTCACATGATTGCCATTTGGTCCTTCGTCTACAGTAGGGGTCGGGGCAACCAAATTTCCAAGCCGTTCATCAATTCAAGCCGTCCCACCACCAAGGCCCCGGCGGAGGTAGAGCCGACTCAGAATGGCCCAAACCCGGATGAGGAGGCGCGACAGCGGGTGGTGACCTGAGGAACCTAGACCTCCCGAATAGTTCAAGTCTTCGTCCATCTACCCATAGGGCAGGGCTGAAAGGCCATGGTTTCTGGTATTTGAACAGCCTACAAATGTTTGCCAGCGTGGTTACCCCATCGGGAAAGCCAAGCAGCAGTCAGGGTCACGGTTCTTAGGGCGCATCTGGTTTACACTCTGAGAACAGCTGGAACATGTGGGGTTCCCTCAAATTGTCAGTTTGGCCATCCCAACGAAAGGTAAGTGCAGGTTATGTAAAAGGGTGCTCAATGCAAGAACTGTTCGTGCGAGAGAGAGAGTGTGTGTGTGTGTGCCTGCGTGCATAAATACATGTATATATATATATATGTATACACATATGCAAAGGCTGCGATCTACAGCACTGTATGCGTTTGTGTCTACACGCAGCGCAGAGGGCCTCAGGTCTCAGGTATCTTCAGTCCTTGCAAGTGAGATCCAAAGTTACACTGCCCACTGTCCATGAACTCGCTTGAAATAGGCAGGAATGTTCTGGGAAAACTTCTTCCTGCACACCCAAACCCTCCTCGCCTCAAAGCTCGACCCGTGAATGCTATAGGCTTCGGAGCCTTCAACAGCAGCTCCTTCCTCAGCGGCTCCGGCTGCAGCAGAGGAGCCTCCCGCTGCTGCGGCGAGCACTCCGCCAAAGGCTCTCAGGGTTCAGTGTTGCATCCGTTCAGAGGAGTATCAGTGGCTTTCGCAGGAGCAGTAGTGCGAGTGGTGGTGGTAGTAGTAGCAGTAGTAGAAGTAGAAATAACAATCAGCCTTTTGACAGTAGCAGTAGAAATAGCAGCAGCAGCAGCAGCAGGACAATCCTTCCTAAGTTGCGACGTTCAAAGTGTTACGGGGGCAGGGCAGGGGGTGCCTGTTCAAATGTGAATGGAAGCCGTGACCAGGCACCATTTTCCTGATGTCAGCAGTCGTGTGTTCATGTGAGCACTACTTTTTCCTCCTGGCTATGTGCCAGACTTGGTCCGTGTTTTACAGGTGTTTTTTTGAAGGGTTAAACTATTGCGGTACCTTCTGTACAGAAGCATGAAGCTCAGCACCCCGCAATCCACGGGGCAGCATCGCGTAAGACTGAAATCATTACATGCGCGATCCCAACATTTTCCCGGTGTAGCTGCTATAGTCCCCATCCCGGACAGGAGAAGGAGAAGGAAGCACCTTCCCTGCCAGCGGAGAAGCCAGCCGAGAAGCCAGCTGAGAAGCCGGCTGAGAAGGAGCGAAACTTGGTTTGCCCGGAGCGTCCTGAACATGCTTTATGGTGTTAACTCAATTTGAACCTTATTGAGAAATAGCTACAGCCAACTGTTTTCGAGGCTCCCAGGACTGACATGGCTTTGGGAGCTGGATTTTGGGTAGGGTTCAGGGCTGTGGGGCTCTCTTCCCGCCAGTTGCAGTAACCGGGGGCGCGCTTCAGCGAGGTTACACAGCAGGACCTTCGAACAAGCCCAAATCTTCAACCAGCAGACTATAGCATTTGACAAGAGCATGCAAAACTCGGGTAGATTCTCAATTGCTTCTGCTTTCTTCAATGCTTAAACACAAGCAGGACCTAGGTATCATTTTGGATGCCCTACACACCCTAAGCTTGAAATCCTAAATTGGCTGAAGCCTTAAGCATAAGCCCTAAGCATTGCTGGCATAGGGTATATGCCAGGTTTAGACGGCACCCTGGATCTAGGGCGCACGCCAGGGGCCCATGTTTTTTGACCTCAGTCTCGGTTTTTTTTGTTAACCTGACAGGGACTCTTAAACCCTTCACCCATATATAGTCCCCCTTAATTAGATAGTATACGGGGTATATTATAGTAAGAACCCCATATATCCCATATTCTATTTATTTCAGTGGGACTATATCATTGTATAATCGGTAGAACCGTCATAACCGCTTCAATATGGACCTTAACCATAACCCTAAACCTCATTTCGCTGTAGACCTTGAGCCCTATCCTGGAGACCCATGAGCTTTAAACCTTAGACCCTAATCCCCTACATAATTCGTAAACCGCTGAATTCTGAATCCTAGAACCCGTCAAACGCTAAACCTGTAAACCCTAAATAGCAGTTTCCATTTTATTTCCACTATCCCAATATAACCCCAATACATCCCCTATGTATGACCCTAAAACCGTAAACCCTAAATAGTAGTTTCCGTTTCATTTTTCATTGTTCGTTTATAGCCCCCTAGGACCATATATAATCCCTGCAAAACCCTGCCTAAACCCTAAAATCCTGAAGCCTTAGCCCCAAGCCCTAATCCCCGCACCCTAAGCCCTAACCCTAGACCCTAATTCTACAATAATATAGTAGTTTCCATTTTCTTTTCCATTATCCCTATATAAGCCTATGTAATCCCTATACAACCCTGCCTAAGCCCTAAATCCTGAAGCCAAACCCCCTAAACCCTGCACCCTAAGCCCTAAACCCTAGACCCTAATCCTACAATAGTATAGTATTTACCATTTTCCTTTTCATTATCCCTAAATAACCCCCTAGAACCCTATATAGTCCTACCTAAACCCTAAACCCTAAAACCCGAAACCCTAAAGCCCTAAAAGCCTAAACCCTAAAACCCTTAACCTCGAAAACCCTTAACCCTCAGGCCCTTAACCCTAAAACCCTTAACCCTAAAACCCTTAACCTCGAAAACCCTTAACCCTCAAGCCCTTAACCCTAAAACCCTTAACCCTAAAACCCTTAACCCTAAACCCTAAAACCCTAAAGCCCTACACCCTAATCTGCCAGGCAGATCCCAGCCCAAGCAGCGCCAGTCCGTCGGCGGAACGGCAGGAGCTCTGCAGGGTTTACTTGCTGGTTGAGTTTTAGGGTCTTGTATTGTTGGTATATTGGGTTAAAGGAAAATAACATGGAAACTACCTTTTAGGGTTTAGGGGTCTAGTGTTTGGAAAATTAGGGTTTAGGGCTTAAATTTCAGGGTTTACTGGTTTACTGGATGCCTGCAAAGGAACTTAATACATGATAGGGCTTTATGATAGTAGCTTTACTTTAAGTTCCTTAGCAGCAACCCAGTTTAGGGGCTCCAAGTCTATTGGCAGTACCTACTGTGGGATGTTCTTTGTAGGGAATGCTAGGCATGTAGGGACACAGGGCTAATGGTGTAGAGGTTGTGATAGAGAAAGAAATGGAAAATTGCATGGACACTGGCGGTTCACAAGGATGTGTAGGGCTTCGGCTTTGCTTCATAGGGAATGAAGGAATAGAAAACGGAAACTGCTGGGTATTATCTTTGGGGCTCTTTGTGCTGTTCGGTAGTGCGTTTTTTGCTGAGAACCTTGTGTAATTGCAGCATATGATATACTCCAAACCCCTTTTCTGCGTAAAGCCGCTCCGGCAGCATCCAGTTGGGGTTTTCTCAAATCAGCGCGTTGATGAAGTTGTGCCCTTTGCTCGTGCATGGGCAGAGTTTGTGGTTGTTGTATGTTGTAACTTTCAGGATGTGTCGCTAAGCTGGTTTAAGGCTTCGACCTCATTGAGAGCTTTCTCGATCCCCAGACGCCCTGGAGGATCTAGAAAGTAGAACCCCCATGTTGGTACCTTCTACTAGTATTGGGAATTTTCTAGAAACCCTTAAGGGTCATCTACTTTCTAGATCCGCCCAGGGGTCCGGGTCTATGTTGGAAAACGTAGGATACTGGGTGTCGTTGCCTGAGAACTGAATGCACAGAGTGCAGGTTTACAGTTTGACGAACACGTATGCTCAACTGGCCAGGACCAGGATGTTTGGGCTCAGCGTTTGCTTGCCGATTTACAAGCCAATCCGGCAGACGAGCTTAGGTAATGCAGCCTAGTGATTGTCAAAACATTTTACACGCGCGTCCATACTGTTGAAGAGCCCATCGTCAAAGAGAGTTCAACCCATTTGCAGTAGGGAGCACGAGCAGTTCAAGCCACTGCAAGCATACTCTGTTCAAGGCAACTCTTTCACGGAGAGCTGAATCTTCTGCGTCTCTGATCCCCAAAAAAGGCTTAGGCCTCAAACCCTACATATCCCGTGTAACTCACTTGTACATCCCTTCAGGCAACGCGATTTAACCCCTAACCTCGAACCAATCTTCCAATCCTCCTCTGGCGGAAAGGAGACGATCCTTGTAGAAGCCCAGGCGAGGCATTCTCTCACGCCATAGGGTTGAAGCTTGGGTTTTCATATGGATGCCGTTCTAAACCCCCGCCTTTAGAGGCAAGACTAGCGTGGCATTAGGCGGACCTCAGAATAGACCATCAAAGCATTTTGGCTCCTTACTATAGGGACTTCCAAAAGGTGCCCCTATTGCACGGAAACCTCCATATGGGGATATATTGCACCCTAAAACCTCATCCCTAAATCGCGGGTTTTGCTGGCTTCTGGAGATGAACATTGTTGGCGTACACTTTTTTTTATGAATTATGTTGCAGTTCGCAGGCTTGTATTTCCAAAAGCTGGCTCCAAGTTCAAACCGTCAGGTCCCGAAACCCCATGGGTGCAGCCCTTCGAAGCCAGAAAGCAACTTCAATGCAGGACACACCAAGTCAGATCGAATCACTGAGCCAACCAGCGGATGAACTTAAATGCGTGCCTGGCTTTCCTCAAACAAACATGGAAGCTGATATGATCCACTTCTCAAGTTCATTGAACGGAGAGTATATGCTCCACGACAAGCAGCCAGCGCAGGTAAAAATCGGCGATGGAAGCGTGCAGCCGCTTCACGCCGCTCAAGCTGCGATGATGATGTAGCAACCGCAATATTAGCCACATTGAGCTCGAATGGCAAAAGGCAATCATTGTTACTCTTCGCATATTTTGGAAGGACTCCTAACAGGAAACTTCAGTTCCATCTCCTGGAACAACTTACTCTATTCCTCTATGTACATATATATATATATGTACATCTACGTCTTCATCATCCGAGCCCTAGGTAGTCCCCATAGTTGCCCTTAGAAGTTGCAGGGTCGCT